GGACTGGGTTATTATAATCTCCCCACGGCTGCCCACAGCTCCTTCCTCCCCTTGCAATTGTCCCCTCCAGGTTCAGAGCACACCAGGGGCTGCTTCTGCATGTGTGTCAGTCCCCCCGAATGTAGTTTTGGATGTCATTTGCTTTGTCAGTTTAGTCCTCTGTGTTTTCTCTATTTCAAGGATTACTTAAATTTTCTGATCTGATGATAGCATGCTTTTTTGAGCTTACCTCTCTCTCACTCCAGTAACCCCACTTTCTGTCACTCCAGTAACCCCACTTTCTGTCATTTTTTGAGCTTACCTCTCTCTCACTCCAGTAACACTTTCTGTCATTTTTAGAGATGTTGGTTGAATGGAAAAATATTCATGAGCACTCAGTTGGCCATTTTGATACACCCCTAAGCTTTTTCAGTGTGTTATAATCAAATAATAGATATATAAGTTTGTATCTTGTGGGATTTTTGAAAATCTACATTAGAACTTAAATATTTTCTATTTTATTGAAAACTACTTGCAATAATAATTATTCATGGTTACATAATACCATACCTTCACTATATATTATAATTTATATTTTTGAACATTTACATTTAGATCATTTTCAGCTTTTTGATATTAAGTATATTGACTGGGATACATATTTCTGTTTCAATATTTAGTCTCCATATTAATTTTATTCACTTAGGATAGGTTCCAAAGTATATAATTCTAACAGGCGTGCTTTTATGCTCTCTTGGTAATTATTTTCCTGCTTAACCATTGACTAGAAGCCACGAGAGGACAAGTTTCCTACCTGCTGACTCTCTCCTTTATACTGTGATGAAATTTGAGCCAGAAGGTGTTTAACTGTGAACATTCATTTATTCAATAAAAAATTATAGGTGTCTCATTAGTAACTCTAATACTAGCATAATTCTATGCTCTTGTTACTTGTCAAAAGTTTTACATGTCTGCCATCTGCTTTAATCCTCATATCTGGGAATATAAATTTACATAATCAATCCTGGAGGATGATCCAGCATATTTTCATTTGACGAGGTATTAAGCTCTTACTTTTTTCTAGGCACTGGTTAAACGTGGGGAGGAGGTCCAATAAGTAACACCTCTTTTCATTGCCTGAGTTCAAAACCAATTCAGAGATAAAATAAAGAAAGAGGGAAGACAAAGTTGAAACTATCATCTTTATTACTGAGACAGGCTGTGTTTGTTAGGATGTGGCTTAGGTGTGGGCAGTGATGGGCTTCCTAAGACTGAACCCTCAAGTACATCATGCTTCACACCCAATCTCAGGCAATGCTAACAAGCTTAAGCGGACTACACGGGGCCTGCCCTTCTAAAATCTGTGGGACGGCAGAATCGGCTGACAGACGGGACTGAGAGGGATTTGTCCTACCTCCTAGAGGAAGGCCAAGGTTATACTAAGGAATGGGCCGCTCCATGAAGGCGATGTCAGGAGTGAGCAGTAAGGTTCCCCTGTCTGTCTCAGCCCCCAGAGAGATCAACCTAGAACCACGGAGAAGCCGCCCATGATTTGCAGAGGAACTATTTCTTGTCCTTCCAGCTTTTCCCTTCATCATTCCCCAGCTCTTCTGATAGAGGTAGAGCTTTCCAGAGGCTGAAGTCCCCTCTTTTGGCTTCAAGCACATCAGCTCCATGGCTGTCCTGTTGATCAGCTGACCCATCGCCCTCTACCCAACCACCTTTCAGTGAGAGGTGACCACATGATGATTTGGGTTGTGGATACTGAGTCGGAGAAGGTCCCTGAGGAGGGCGCCATTCCCAATCTGAAAGGCAGAGCCTTTCCAAAGGAGAGGGGTTTGGGGGGAAGGGAGGGTGCTTTGCTCTTTTATCTTCCAGCCTGGAACGTTAAGATGGGGCCCAGAGGAGCAGTAGCCACCTTGCAATGAGAAGTCAACTTATTCAAGGATGAAAAAGGGCCGCCTACTAAAAATGTGGAGCAGAGCGGGAAAGCACTTGGACCCTCGATGACACTGTAGAGTGCCTTGACGGGATCAGTACCAGTTATCTCAAAGATCCCCAAATGACGTATGATCTTCGCTGTGTGCTATGTTCTGAATGTTTGTGTCTCCCAAATTCATATGTTGAAATCCTAACCCCTAAGGTGATGTTATTTGGAGGTGAGACCTTTGGGAGGTGATTAGGTCATGAGGGCTCCGTACATATGGTATTAGTGCCCTTATAAAAGAGGACGCATCTGAACAAATTGCCTCTTCCCCTGTGTGAGGACGCAGTGAGAGGATAGCTCTTTGTGAGCTAGGAAGCTTGCCCTCGCCAGACACTGAATCTTGGATGTCCTAGTTTCCGAAACTGTGAGAAATAAATTTCTGTTGTTTATAAGCCATTCAGTCTGTAATATTTTGTTATAGCAACCCAAATTGACTAAGATACTGTGTATCAGAACCTAGGAATATGTAATTTCATTATCAGAAGCTACACTTAATTTTCAAAATATCCTTTTGGAGACATGTATTTGACATGACATGTTCTGACATCTAAGGCAAATTAATGCTTTTGGAGTTAAATATTCTTCAACTTTCTTATTTGAAGCATGCATTAATATAGCTTAAAAGTTAAATGGGAGTGGGGTGCACAGGCTAGGAGACTGAGAACAACTGAAAGAATAGATCTCTATATCCAGTACCTCACTATTCCTAATGTCTAAGCTAGAAGGAAATTCGGGGTGCTTCTGGTCCAGAGGGTCTCAGACTGTGATACCAGGACTCCCCACAGGGGTGCTCCAGGATGCCTTGGGGGATAAAGGGAAGCCGGATCAGTGGGATCCAGCCCCCACTCTAGTTTAACCAGAACGCCTCTGCGTTTACCTGCGGTCTCCATTGGGATTCCTTGTAACAATGAATTCATGTTGTCAACTGAAGTTTAAAATTACTTGTTCAGTCAAAATTAAGTTTAAAAACCACTTACCTTGTCCAACATCCTTGTTTTATAAATAAGGAAGCTGACACTTAGCAAAGTTCAAATGACTTGATCAAGTGGCAGACTACAACTGAGTTCCCCAATATCCTCCCTTCCTGTTCCTAGTATATTGTTTTTCCTGAATCACTGCTCAGATTCCACAGATTATAAAAGGGAATTTCCTCCAAAAGTTCAATTCTGCAAGAGTTGTTTCTTCAGAAGAGCTCTCCACCTAAGAGTTTCGTAGTATGAATGGCACAGAGCTGTAAACTCTAGTCACAGAGAAAAATGACAATGCAATGGAAAATTCCGGAGATATATGGACTTCAGGTTTTGTCTGATCAGGGCTCTCATTCTGTGAGCTTTCATGGGCTAACTCAGTTTGGTTCTCCACAGGTAGTTGTCTGAGGAGACGAGCATTAGGATCCTAAATTCAGGAAATAACCCTGACCTTTGCTCTGACTGGCCCATGTACGAACCAATAACTGTAGCAAGCTGTCTTTGTTTCTAAGGGCAACTGCCTTGTGTTCTTTGTGTTTGCCTAATGTTCTGTTTATCATGCCTGTGCTTATTCATACTTTTAAAAGTATCTCTTTAACTTAATTATCTTCATATGATCTAGTGATAAATTTCTTTATTTTTTCCATCCTTTTCCGGTGAAGTGTTACCTGAGGTGTTTTCTTCCTAGCAACTCATGATTCTGGGGTTCCATACTATGTTTCTTTAGTGCTGGTTTTGTTTTTGACATTGCCTAACCTGAAAATTTGTTCAGGGTTTGCAACTTTGACCATCGAAGTGATCTGGAGAGTGGTCTGTTCATCGTTTCTAATTGATGGGGGTGAGTTTATATTCTCTCCACAACATTTTTGGAGTATCCTCTCTGTGGAGATGACTGTGGCATGTGAGGCTGAGGTCCAGGAAAATATGGGAAGTACCATAGTGAGCCAAGGTTGCTCAGGGAAACTAATGTCACCAGACCTCTCTGGCTTCAAACACTGCTTTGGCAGCCCCTTTGAGTCCCCAGCCAAGAGCGGGGAATTGGGACTGGGGCTATGGGATATGTCCCAGACTGAATTTTTAGAACATCTCTGCATTTTCTATTTTGCCTGGATTGGCAGCAAATCCCTTAAATCAAAATAACCCATGCCTTTGCTCCTAAGGATAATTAAAAAGGATAGAGCTGGCTTGGGGGAAAAGTGCCTTAAAGCACGAGTGGGGGATGATGGCGGAGCAGGGAAAAGGGATGAGAGTGAGGCCCCCACCAGAGGATTTAGGAATAAAAGGCCTGGATTCTTAACAGAGTTCTTGCTCCCAAGGGTATATAATGAGAGGATAAGGGGGACAGTTTGGGGCTCTTTGGGGATTTTCAGGAATATCTCAGTCAAAACACAACCCAGCTGTAATTTCATTTGCAGAAGGTTAAACTAAACAAATAAATCAAAAGAAGAAAAATGCCATAGGAGTAACAAGTTTTATGGCATGTAGATATAACTGTACCTAATGCTATTTACTATAATAACAAAAATAAATAACATTTGAATGTCCAAGGACAGAGAAATAATAAAATAATCCAAAATAGCAATATAATGAAATATTACGTATTCATTGTAAGAAGCATGTATGATAACTCTTTAGAATCGTGTTGGCCAATACTGGAATTGTGAGCCACAAGTGGCTATTTAAATTTGCATTTGCATGACTTAAAATTAAATAGAATAATAATTTCTCAGTTACAGTAGCCCCACTTCAAGTGCTCAAGAGTCATGTGTAGCTATTGCCTACCGTCAAAATGCTGATATGGAACATTTTTATTATCACTAAAAGTTCTATTGAACAATGCTGCTCTAGAAAGGTGAGAAAGTGTTTACACATGACTGCTCAAGTGAAACAGAAGTAGCTTGAGAAGCACAAGCACTGATTATACCAACATAAAAATCATATGGATAAAGATTAGTCAAGACAAAGAAGCATTAAAATGATTTCTGCCAGGTAGATTTAAAAGTTATCTTGTAGAGTGGTCTAGACTTCAGTCACTAATACATGAAAATTTTGAAATTTCTCTTCAGGAGGTCAATCGTTTCTGCTGCTCCTGGGCTAGACACAGAGAAGTTGTAGAGGTGGCATCAGGAGATGGTTCTCACTCTGGCTTTGCAACTGAAACAGCTGGGCGATGTCATGGAAGTCACTTCAATTCTCCTGGCCTCTTTCTTCAGATGATGTCTAAGGTCTCTTCCAGCTTAAAGGAATGGTTGTATTTGTCTTCCGATGGAGAGCAGGTATCCAAGAGGCCCATTAGGCTGGTCCTTGGGAGGCTGTAGGAATGAGAGTCAGTGGCAAGTTCTCAGATTGTGATGATAATAGACTGTGTATCCCAGGGATGAAGGAAGAGAAGTAGAAAGGATTTTCTAGACTGGAGAAGCTGGTCAGTGAAAAAATAGGAGATTGCATTCCAGACACCAGAGAGCTATAAGAAAAATTGCATCTGTTTTCATTAAATGTTAGAGATGACTTTGAACAGAACCCAAGTGAAACTGCAAACACATCTGAGAAAATCCTAGCGCCATCTTGGATCTCAGAAACTCCAGCCAGCTCTCTAGTCACAAGTAGTTCACAAACTACCCTCCTATTAGCTCATTAATAACACTCCGGGACAGGGCAATGCTTCCATTTGTCCAACTATTTCTCTGATATCAGATCATAAAATCATACTTCTTGAAAGTCACCTATTCTTGAACATTTACTCTCTGAATTGATTTTACAACTATAGTATCTTATCTAAATCATTTCACACTTCTTTTTAAAGTTTGAAGATATGTAGTGTTTCATCTCACTTCCCTCCTTATATATTTTTCTATTAAACATCATATGGAGAAATGCGTCTACTAAATAATTAATATCATCCACCTTTATGATTTTTAATGTATAACTATACATTCACATGCCCTTGATATGTATCATATATACAATGGTGTGCTTTTCTGTGTATACTTTTGTTTTACATTTAAACAAAGCAAACTACCTGAATCTGGATACATTAAACTCTTTAATGATGTAAAAAATACATGCGTGAGTTGCTGTGTATATGTGTGATCTACACATTTCTTGAATAATGAGCCACTTAATGTATGCCATGTCCTGTGGGAGATCAAAATTGAAAATACATAGTCCTGTCTGTCAAGGAGCTTATAAACAAATCATCATATGGTTTGATCATTTCTGAACAGCCTCTAAATTAGGAAAATATCGGGTCTCAAAAATATATTCTAAAGTCAATGGCTCAGAACACAAAATTATATGTTTAATTGTTTTCAAGTTCAGTTTAGTCTCCTCCAAATAACTGAATGCATAGTATACCCCAGATATAACTATATTTAGTATAATTTGATTTAATTGATCAATACATTTATTGCCTATCTTGTGAGGAACTGGAATACAAAAATGGGTAAGACATATTTCTTGCTCTCAAGCAGCTCATAGTCTGGTGGAGAAGGCAAACCAGTAAACACCCACCTGCCAATAGGCACAATGGGTGCCACATAGGTCTGGGAAGCCTTAATGGAGAACATTTATTACCAATCTACCAAATACATGAGCACTGTTGCTAAGGGACAAATCATAATGCTTGGAACCCATTTTCCACTGACAGCTCCGGTGATAGAAGAGGAAGTATCTGCCTCTCCTAGTCTTCTGATCTGCTGATCAGGCTGTGGAGAAGCACCAGCTCTAAGGTGGTAAGATCATGGCCCAGAGCAAAGGCTGAAGGACTTGTCAAACCACGACTTCCTGCTAATGCAATTCTGCAGGCTAACTTCCTGTTTTCCCTTTACCCTTCATCAGGAACTAGGAAGAATAGCCTGGTTTTCTTCCACTGACAACCTCACTGATTCCTTTCCTTTCCTGGTCCACTATGCAGCTAAAAGTAGTCTAAGAAATCTATTAAGAGCTTTTCACTCTCTTTTGGGTAAAATCTAACCTTTCTTCGGGGCTGGTCCTCATCTTCCTCTCTAGATCTTGCCCTCAGGCACAACCTATCATATTCTCTTTGCTACAGCCATGTTTTACTCCTTGTGGTTCCTCAAATATGCCACACTTTCCAGTCTTTTCTCCTGTCTCTTATTTATACACTTCCTTTGGCCTTCTATTCTTGGACTGGCAGAAGACTAGTTATTCATCCATTCTCAGCTTACATGTCATTTCCTTAGGGAGTTCTTCTTTGACCTAAGATGAGGGAGTTCCTAGATGACCCAGTACTTCACTTATCTTAGTTCTCATCAAACTTCGTATGATTATTCCCTTCACTCCTTTCATCTGTAAATTGCAGAGGGAGGGTACAGACCACATCTGTCTGGCTCACCATCGTATTCCAGGCCCTGGCCCATAATTTGGTGAATGCAGGGCGGGCTTCATGGATGTGCAACCTGTATAGTTGCATAGGGCCTCACACTCAGGAAGGTGAGTTTAAGGCTTAGTTTTAATGATTTTCTGTCTCTATCTTGAAAATTCTTAATAACTTTAAACAAAGGGCCCCATATTTTTGTTTCGCATTGCGCCTCACAAGTTGTGAAGCTGATCCTATGGGGATGAATAAATGAATTAATGGATATATATTCATCTTCACAATTTGTTGAACCAAGGAAATTAAGGCTTCTGAAGTCTTAATTTTAAATAAGAAAAAATACTTTAGAAAGTAATTGCATTGTATAATTCAGACATCTTTATGATCTATTTTGCTAATTTTTACATATTGTTTGTCCATATGAGGAAAGAGAAGCCATGCCTGAGAGGTACATACTCTCTGTTCTGTGAGAGGTGTTTTCACTTAAAATTACTTTTTTTTTCAACCACAATGTTTATAAATTTTTTTAAAAGGTGAGTCCAGAATGATTCACTTTGTCTTACACCTGATTTACTATAATCGGAAAGATGGAAAGAAAAGAAAGAAAAAGAAGCAGGAAAAATTCTGCAAATAGTAAATGCTATTTAGATTTCTATCTCTTTAGAGTGCACGAACATCAGCAGCATATCCTTTTGGCCAGTAAAAGCAATATTAGAAAATAATAAATCTCAAAGAAAAAAAATGTAAGGTGTGGACTTTCCATTCATAAACTCAAGGACACCATTCAGGAGAGACCATTTCTGGTCTTTGAGCTTTTAAAGCCTACAAAGAACCTCCTGGCAAGCTTTGTGAGGACAGCTGGGGAGTCCTCTGGTTCTTTTATTAAGGATCTTTCTTAACTTTCACCACCATCTCTAGCAGGGGCCACTGGCTATCCTCACCATCTTTGATAAATTGTGGAGAACGTGGATTCCAACAGAGCGGGGCTTGGATCTTTATACCGTTTTGAGAAGCTGATTTCTTCTCACCCCTATAGGTCCAGAGGACCAGTTCCAGGTCCAGCTATGCCAGTCACTTGCTGTGTGACCTTAATGATGTCCCATCTTTAGACCTCAGTGTCCTTGTCTGTGAAGGCAGAGGTGGATAAAGCTTCACCTGTCTTTCAAGTACCCTGAGTCTCCACTAAAGGATCTTCCTTTCCCTGTCCCTGGGAATTTGGAACTCACATCTTGATCTCATTCTCTAGGTTCATCCTCACCAGACCCCTATTTGCCACTTCCTGACCCTCCATTCTTTCTTGCATATGCTGTAGGCTTTGTCCCTGTGTCCTACTGAATGCTTTCCCCTTGCTCCCCACCTTTTCTTGATTTACTTGTCTAATGCGTATTCATCTTTCAAGAAGTTAAGTTGCACCCTGAGCTTAACCCTCCACACCACATTCGACACTGTCCTGCACGGAGACTCCCGTGTGTTCTCAGAGCCCCGTGTGTTCTCAGAGCCCCGTGTTTTCCTCTGTTCTAGCTCTCATCGTGCTGTGTCATTAGTGTCTATTTCCATGTTTGTTTCCTCAGGAGTTCCAAAGTTCTTTCAGGCTTGGACTTTGCCTCCTCAGCATCTAGCACGGTCATTGGGACATAGTAGGTGTTCAATAGTGTAGAATGAGTGAATGAAGAAACTAATGAAAGAATGAATGAAGACGTCATTATCATCCAGTCCCAGCTGTCTTTATAAAAGTGGTATTGCATTTAACTAGGATTCCTGGAGACACCGTACCTTAATAAGGGAAGGTCAAGTGGGCTGGCAGAAGAAAGGAGTCCCTCTGCCACTCAGCTCACCCTTCAGTTTGGCTTAAGCCTAATTGGCTCAGCACACAGCGTAATTGCAGGGAGTAGCAACAGGAGGCATCAGGAAGCTTCTTGGGTTTTATTCCTTGCCCATATTTGCTTGATGTCCTCACCCTATCTTAATGATATTGGCAGTACGAAGCAGGGGTGGGTAATACTTCTCCCCATTCATTGTAGCTCTGCCAGGTTGCACAATTCCTCCCTCAGAGGTATCCAGGAGTGTATGTTAGAAACATGATCCCCAGGCTTGGTTAGGAGAGGGACGTAGCTGATGGAAGTCATGAATTCAACGAACACTCATGTGGCAGGCACTATGCTGGTGCTGGCACAGATACTTGAGAACCAGACACAATACCTGGCCTCGAGAAGCTAACGGCCTATTGGGAGAGCCAGACAGTGAACAGAACATTGTAGTGGCATGACAATTAGGTAACTTTTCCCCCTCCTCAACGTGTAAATAACTAAATAAGCCCAAATCCATGCTTTTATAGAAATAGAAATGTCAAGCTGATATTAGGACATTTTAATTAATCAAGTCCTCTTATATGCATATCCCCACAGAAACCTCACAAGTTAGGTATAATGGTTCTCTTCAGATAAGAAGACTGAGGCTTAGAGAAGTTAAGCAATTTGCTTGAAGTCGCCCCGTTTTCAGAGATGTCTTGGGATCAGTATCACTTAGATCTTCCTGCATCTTCCACCCTCCCAAGAAAGCAGTGTCTTAGAAAGCAGTGTACTTAGAAAGCAGTGTCTAAGGCTCAAGAAGATCCTAAAGTGCCTTTGAAATGATCAAAAAAATTATTAGACTCAATATATTTTAAGTCATAAGGGTGTTTTTCATTCTTTGAAAAGTAAACATTCGTGGAGGGAAAGCAATATATAGAAGCAGGTCTGGGCTTTAGGGCAGAAAGCTGTAGCCTGGGGTGGAGGTTTCTGGGCAGGAGGGAGGTGAGAACAGATGTGGGGCTCCTCCGGGAATAGAGAGGGAACTGGAGTGCTATGTGGGCTGCAGAGGCCAGGCTGGGGAAGGAAGCCGAGTGGCCCAAGGCTCAGTAGTCAAAGAACAGTGCATGTTCAGGCCAAGTCTGGACAAATGTTAGCACCAACTGACACCAGCAACTGTGTTCCACCAACTGGGAGTCGGTGAGGATGTGAACACTGTAGCCAGTGCAGCCAAGGCCCAGGCTCGAACACACAGCTGCCTGACTCTCCTCCCCAAACACAGGTGGGTAGTAGCTCTCCAAGGGCCTCCAGCACACCCAGAGCACATGCCATCCGACTCTGGTTGACTTTATAGCTGAATTAAGTCCTGCCCACCATGGTGTATCTGAGGCCACTGACCTCTTACCTCAACCAGAAACCGAGGCACCTCTGGGCTTGCAAGTGGATGGAGCCATCAGGAGCTCTAGCCCAGGCCAGGCAAAGCCAGGGAACGGAGAAAGGGCCTGGTAACTGGCAATTAAGTGGAAGAGTCAGTTATTCAGAATCCCACATTCCTCAACCATTCTGGAATGAGCTTACTGTAATTCCAGATAAAAACAAAACTTTCAGAGCTGCTACTTAGCCACTTGGGGCGAGTTGGTTTATTTTCTTCTAGTTTCAATATAATTCAGCACTTTCACTTTGCAAAGCTAGACCCGAGTTTCGTGTGGTCTGCAGAATGCTGACTCAACATCAGGGTAACCAATGGTGTAATCATGACATGAAGCAAGCCTGGTGGTTGTCAGGGTTCTTAAATCTCCTCACTTAGATCCCCACGATCTCTAAAAACTCTGCCTTTGTCAGAAATTAGAGCCCTTGTTGAAACAGGGGCCTGGGTATGTATACATTCATTCAAAACTGTGTTTAAAGGATTTTTTTTCCCCTACTTTATAAGCAGTA